ATCATTTTTTTGTTTTTGAAATTTGGTATGCTCTTAAGCATTTTAAACTTCATTTGCAGACTGAGCGTGGTGGTGCGCGCCTGTAATCCCAGTTCTTGGGAGGCTGCAACAGGTGGATCACTATGAGTCCAATCTAGTAGTGACACCCTGAACACCATGTAGACCCTTCCCTAAAATATAAACAAAACAAAAAAACCTTGATTTCCAGTACACCCTTTCACTGTACTTGGCCAAACTTTCCTGTGCTCAGCAGTCTGCACAACCTGCATAACAAGAATTTTCTGTTAATGTGACAGTGCTTGTCTGGATTATTCAATTGTTGGACAGTTGGGTGCATTCCCAAGTTATGGTCATTCCAGACTTCTGAATAGCCCTGCTGAATCCCCTTTCCTCTGTGGATCCTTTCCTTAGAAATGCACTTCCTTACATGGGCGTACTGGGTCAAAGGACTTTATGAACAGTTTATAGTCCTCGAACATACTTTTCAGCTCGTGCCCTGGAGGCGTTGACCCCTGGCCCCGCCCGAGGGGGCGGGGCGGCGGAGGCGTGGGCGCAAAGCAGTTTTCAGTCTCTCTCCCAGTGTCTGGCTTTTCAGCCCCCGCTGGGCGCGGCACAGAACTCCTTGCAAGCCCTAGGATTTTGGCTTCTACCCCGGGGGCCGGGGGCCACTCTTACAGGCCCAGCAGTCCTACTGACACTTTCCAACATCGGCTGTCGGGCACCCTCAATTCCTGGCCCCAGTGCGCAGGCGCCCCTGTACTCCGGCTGCAGCCGCAGCGCCCCACAGATCGCCAGATCCCGGTGACTTTGCAGGGCCGTGAGCCGGCGCCCTCGGCCCCGTCCTCAGTGAGGACGGCGGCTCCGGAGCGCCGTCCTTGTCCCCAACTTCTCTTCCTCTTGGGATCGCAAACATTAGCGGAAGAGGGTCGAAAAGGAAGCGAGGAAGCACCTTTTAGAGAGAGAGGCACCGGGAGGAGGCACCGCCTGGAGGAAGCCCAGAGCGGCAGGCGGGGCCAGGTGCGCGCGCAGGCGGTGGGCGTGGCCTGCGCGCGCGGGGCGGGCAGAGGGGCTTCTGGGTAGCGGCGGCGCGCGAGCAGGGCAGGGCCGCGGAGCGGGCACGCGTGCGGAGGGAGCGTTGTCGCGAGGCCTGGAGGCGGCGGCGGCCACCATGGGAGCAGAGCGGCGGCAGTAGTCGCCAGAGCCTAGGCTGCGGCCTCCAGAGCCCCTCGGGGCGGAGGGGCGGGGACGCCGCCCGCGCTCGTCGCTCCCTCTGGGGCCTCGGAGCGGCGCCC